AGTTACATTTGTGGAGTTGATTGTTTCACATGGAAAATACTACTTTTTTTTTTCTAAATAAAGATGTGTTAATATGCATTTGGGTATTACATTCCAGATTAGAGCAGCTGATCTAATATGATCTAGTATGGGTTAGTGCAATTTCATTCCACAACTAGTTGGCTATCAGACCATAGACTACAAACTTATGTAGTCTCAAACTTATGACCACAATTGGGATCAAAATTTTGGCAAGGCAGTTGTTAAGGGAGTCATGCCTGATTTTATAACCTTTTTGCCACAGTGATTAGGCAAATCATTACAGTTGTTAACTGAATCGTATGACCATTAAATGAATCAGGCTTGTCGGAAGCCAGCTGGGAAAGTTCAAATGGTGATCACATGACCCTGGAAGACTGCAACCATCATAAATATGTCAGTTGCCAAGTGCCTGAATTTTGATCAGGTGACTAAGAGGATGCTGCAACAGTTGTAAGTGAGAGGACCAGTCATAAGTCACTTTTTTTTACAATGGCATTGCCATTGTAACTCTGAAAGAGTCTCAAAACAAATGATTGTAAGCTGAGGATTATCTATACAGTTTTCCATAAAGGATGATGGGAGATGTAATATAAACACATCTGGACGAAAGTAGATTGGGAAAAGCTAAATATTTTGTTTGAACTTATATTGCCAGTGTTTTGATGTATTCATACAATGGAATATCTTTGGGAACTTTGGAAGAAAAAGAGATGGGGGCAATTGCTCCAATGATAAACCGGATGCCACACAAAACATGGTTTAGTACTTTAACTAAGCAAATTGATCATTTTCCTTCAAGACAATAAAATAAAGATTGAAGTTTAAATACCCAGTTCTATAATGTGTCCAAAGACAGAATTTAGTGCAAGACAAGATAGCAAATAGAAATAAAAATCTCAGCACAAATTCTTGTTTAGATAGTTTACCTGTTTTTACAGAAATGGCCACTTTCCTAAGGAAAGCCCCCTGTGTTCCACTCAACTGGACTTCCCCCAGGTTCCTGGAAATTCCAGACTTTAAGATTATGATACAATCAATACTTTTCCCAGCCTCTGTTCACAGCTTATAATGCTCAGAGGGTCCTTCCTCTCTTGTTGGGAAAGAGAGGGCCTCTTTGAAAATGAAGCAAGGGTTCAATCTTTTCTACATCCAGAACAGGCAGAGAAGGGGCTAATCTGAGCTCTATTCAAGAATAGCCATGACTCACTTATGTAATCGTGCACTGAATCTTTGAATCTGTTCTTTGGCAAGGAGGCTACATGTACAACAAAAAGTAATAAATCTAGCACATTTCAGTAAGGGCAGACTTCTGTTTATAATAATGAATAATAGCCCAACTTTTAAGAGGAGAGATGGAAGAATTCACACAAAACACTGGGCTAAAATGTGATCTGCTAATTTTTAGTTACTTTGTCTTCTGACAAGCCAACACCATGAAGTTGACTTCAAATGTGGGATTGAAAAAAAAAAGAGCTGAACCCTAGGAATAAGGATCAGTGAAGTAAAGGTAGTCCTCAACTTATGACCACAATTGAGCCAAAATTTCTGTTGTTAAATGAGACGTTCGTTACGTGAGATTTGCCCCCCTTTATGACTTTTCCTGCCACCGTTGTTAAGTAAATCACTGCAATTGTTAAGTTAGTAATGAGGTTGTTGAGTGAATCTGGCTTCTCCATACTTGTCGGAAGGTCGCAAAAAGTGATCACATGATCCTGGGACCCTGCAACCACTATGAATATGAACCAATTGTTGGTTATGGGTGCAACTCGTTGCGCCCACGTGACACCCCTCCTGCGCGAGCTGCACTGGCTCCCAGTGGTCTTCCGGGTGCGATTCAAGGTGTTGGTTACCACCTTTAAAGCGCTCCATGGCATAGGACCCAGGTACCTTCGAGACCGACTTCTGCCACCAATAGCCTCCCACCGACCAGTCCGCTCCCACAGAGAGGGTCTCCTCAGGGTGCCATCGGCCAAGTTATGTCGGCTGGCGACACCCAGGGGGAGGGCCTTCTTGTGGGAGCCCCAGCCCTGTGGAATGAACTGCCCCCGGAAATACGTAAGATCTCCGACCTCCGGGTGTTTCGCTGTGCTCTGAAGACCCTGTTGTTCCGCCAGGCCGGGCTATTAACATAACGTTTTAAATTGGGGTATTTTAAATTTCTGGGATTTTAATTGGAGCCTAATTATTTAATGATTTTAAATTTTAATTGTTGTTTTGTTTCTGTGTTTTTAAATAGGCTGTACACCGCCCTGAGTCCTTCGGGAGAAGGGCGGTATAGAAATAGAAATAATAAATAAATAAATAAATAAATAAGCATCTGAATTTTGATCATGTGACTATGTGGATGCTGCCATGGTCATGAGTGTGAAAAACGGCCGTAAGTCATTTTTTTCAGTGCCGCTGTAACTTCGAACAGTCACTAAATGAATTGTTGTAAGTTGAGGGCTATCTGTACAGATTGATGGGGGCTTATCCTAAGGTTAAAAAAAGGCCTTCAGGTAAATACAGTAGAATAGAAATAGGAATAGAGCTGAAAGAGACTTTGGAGATTTGCTCAAGCAGAAGATCCTATAACCATTTCAGACAAATGACTGTCTAGTGGTCTCTTCTTAAAAACCTCCAGTGATATTAACAGCGGCTAGGATTGTGTTTGCTAAAAATTGGAAAAATGAGAAAATACCAACGCAGGAGGAAGTCATTAAGAAAATAATGGAATGTGCTGAAATGAGCAAGTTGACACTTGAAATTAGAGAACAAGAAGATAAACAATACTATAAGATATGGGACCTATTCTATCAATGGCTAGATAAAAAAAACATGGAAATGAATTATGGTAGAGACTTTCACAGTACAAGAATTGTAGAACTATGTGAAATATAACATATAGATGTATTATTATTGGATAGATTCAGGAGGATGAAATGAATGTTATAATAAAAATTAACTCAAATTTTAGAATATTTTGAATGATAATGAGGGAAGAAATAGTCATCGTCACATAAATGATTAACGAGGATAACAATATAAAGATACAGATTAGGTCGATGATATGAGAATCTAGGTAAGTTGTAAATTGTAATTTGGTGAATGAAGCACAAAAGACTTGTAACCAACCGACACACTATTTGCAATTGAAGATGGTTTTATACAAGTTTGTTTAAAAATAAAAAAATATTTTCAAAAAACAAACAAACCAACCTCCAGTGATGAAGCATCCACGATTTCTGACAGCAAGCTGCTCCATTGGTTAATTGTCCTCACTGTTAGGAAATTTCTCCAGAATAGAATAGAATAGAATAGAATAGAATAGAATAGAATAGAATAGAATAGAATAGAATAGAATAGAATAGAATAGAATAGAATAGAATAGAATAGAATAGAATAGAATAATCTTTATTGGCCAAATATTTTTATTGTCTTAAAAGAGCCTTGGTGGCACAGCAGATTAAAGTGGTGTTAAGTGACACCAGATGCCTGCAATTAGTGCGAGTTCGAATCTCACCAGGCTCAAGGTTGACTGAGCCTTCCATCCTTTCGAGGTAGGTAAAATGAGGACCCGGATTGTGGGGGCAATAAGCTGACTTTGTATAAAAAAGAACACCGCTTGGGGGGGGGGGGCGAAAGCCCTACTAAGCAGGTATATACAAAAGTATGAAGGCTATTGCTTAACGCATTGTAAGCCGTCCTGAGTCTCCGGAGAAGGGCGGCATATAAATTGAACTGTTGTGGATTTAATAAGACCAACACAACTTTTGGGTTAATCAGAGACAATTTGTATATTGCACAATAGGTTCAAAGCTCTGTACATGAAGCATTGAACAAAAGACAGAAATTAGGTACAATGGTTTTATACCCTTCTAGACAAAGGATTCTGTTAACTCAGCAGTTTATGTGATCATATACATTTGTCATTTTTAATTGACACTTCCTAATTACTGTTTCATTTTATTCTTTGCCAACAGTTATAATTCTTTTTGTAGATTACTGAAGCATAGACTCAAACCATCTTCTGACGATAGACAACTTTTAACTCATGTGGATCCCCTTGACCTAACCAACCCTTAAGCTGTATGTCATTAGAATGTTCCTTTCTTCTGATAACTTAGAGGCCTCCTAGAGGTACCAAAAGGATTTTGGCTGAGTTTGTACTTTTTCCAACCGGATGCATTGCTTTTTAGAATAGAGTGAATAGAAAGTTATCCAGTGGTCATCTATCAGAGCCCGCTTCATTTACATTAGAACCAATAAATAAATAAATAAATAAATAAGTGTAATTGGACACACAAGGAATTTGTCTTGGTGCATACGCTCTCTGTGTACATAAAAGAAAAGATACATTCATCAAGATTTAATGGTATTTAATTAATTCCAGCTTGCTTCCCTCTTTGATCAGTTTCCAACCATTTTGTCTTGTCCTGCCTTCTGGTGCTTTGGAAAATAACCTACTTAGAAACCTTAGAAACCTATAAGAGCCTTGGTAGTACAGGGGTTTAAGGCACCCTGTTATTAAGCTGGTTATTAAGACCAGCTGCCTGCAATTACTGCAGGGTTCGAATCTCGCCAAGGCTCAAGGTTGACTCAGCCTTCCATCCTTTCTAAGGTAGGTGAAATGAGGACCCAGTTTGTGGGGGCAATAAGCTGACTTTGTATAAATATACAAAAAGGATGAAGGCTATTGCTGAGCGCATTGTAAGCCGCCCTGTGTCTTTGGAGAAGGGCGGCATATAAATCAAATTAAAAAAAAACAAAAACAAAAAAAACCCGCACAGTTCACTTCCAAGCCATTCCCCCCCCCCCCACCCGCTCGCCAGGCCGAGAGCTCGGCCTTGAGGCAGCCTTTCTGCAGCGCTCCTCCGCCCCTACGTAGATGCCTGACCCCCGCGGCCCCTTCACCCTTCCGCCTGGGGGGCGCTCGCCGGCCTTCGGCTGAGCCGGTCTCGGGGTTCGAAGGCGCCGCCCCTCCTCTTTTGGCAAGGCTGGAAGCCCGATGACGTAATGGAAGAAGAGGGTTCCCCACCTCCACCCGCCTCTCCCAGCTGATGGAAGGCGCTGCTGGCCGCATCCTCGCCTTTTTCCTCCGGAGGTGTGGCGCCGGGAGACTCTGCTCCTCCCACCCCGGCCAGGCTCCGAGCGGCTCTTCTCTCGCTCTCTCCGGCGTCCTCAGGAAGCAACCTGGCGCTTAGGAATCGCTGCGAAAGGGCCGGGAGGCGGTTCGGAAAGACGCGATGAAGATGCTGGCTTCGCCTTGGACTCGGTTCTACTCCAACAGCTGCTGCTTGTGCTGTCATGTCCGCACCGGGACCATAATCCTGGGAGTCTGGTATTTGGTAAGGGGGTCGGCGGCGGGGGGCCAAGGAGGCCCATAGCAGAGCTGGTTCCCTCTTCTTCTTGGGCGGAGCGGGGATGGGGGTGGGGGGGGGGGGGAGAGAGACTTGGAACCGCACGTCCTCGGATGCCCCCCCTTGCCCTTGCTGCCCCCCACCCTCCCGTGGCGCCAGCCTCCCCAGACCAGAGAAATGGTCTGGCTCTCCCGAGGATGCCAAAGGAAGAAGGACAAGCGATCCTCTAGGTTAGTGTTTCTCAACCTTGGAAGCTTGAAGATGGGTGGACTTCAACTCCCAGAATCCCCCAGCCAGCAGAGCTGGCTGGGGGATTCTGGGAGTTGAAGTCCACCCATCTTCAAGCTTCCAAGGTTGAGAAACACTGCTTCTAGGTCGCTGTCCCTTGATGAAGGGTGTGTGTGGGGGGGTCGAATTGCTCTGTACTTCTGAGGCTGCGCTGTAGGTTTGATGAAATGCAGTAAAATATTCAGGATGGTTGGATTCCCTTTTTTCAGAAGCTGACTTTTGCAAAAGCGGGGTGCATGGGGCTTCGTTCTCTCTGCCTTCCTCTCTGCTCTTCCTGTGGTGAACTGGACTAAGCCAGGTTCCCATCCTCAGAAAACCAGAAGATAGGGACCCCACCCCCTACCCCCATCCGGTCTTCAACCTGAGTCTCTGTTGTGCTGACCACAAATGGACACCCTCACCAGCTGCTTCTGGATAAGCAGGGCAGTTGTGAGTTGGATCCAGTGAAGCCTAGCTCATCTTCTCTCGAACCTCATCTCTTTTATCTTGGACTCTTTCCCCCCCCCCCTTGAACCTGATCCTCTTTGCTGCCCTGCCCAGGAAAAAAGACTTCCCTCCCATCTCTGCCTGACTTGGTGGCTCAATGGCTAAGACACTTGTCGGCCAGAAAGGTCGGCAGTTCGGTGGTTCAAATCCGTAGTACAGTTCTCCTTCGCGAGCAGGGGGTTGGACTAGATGACCTCCAAGGTCCCTTCCAACTCTGTTACTGTATTAGTTGGTGAGGGTGGTGGTGGTGGAAAGAGCCGCTGCTACTTTGGATTGGAAAAACCCTGACAACCTTTCATTGGTAGCCAAAAGCTCTTTTTTTGCAGCCCAGATCTGGTAGCCCTGTACCTCACCCACGAATACACACCCTCAGGGATGAAATTCCAGGACAATCAACCCCCAGCTAGCCAAGCTTTTTAGACTAATGTATTTAGTTTGTTGTGAGCTGAATAATGCCTTTGTCTTTGTTAAATTATAGCCCCCTTTTATTCAGTGTGCTACACTGAATTATGCCTGGTTCAGTTAACTATGGATGGATAGAGATAGAGATGAGAGATATAGAGATGGGAGGGGGGGAAAGAGGGAGGGAGGTCTCAGTCTGGCACATCTGACCCCAATTCATTAGAAGAGCACAAAGGAAGCCAGGGAGCAAGTATGCCTCTTTGTACTGTTTTTGCTTTGGAAAAGGGATTCTGATTCTTCCTGAAAGATCTGAAGAAAGGAATCCACTCTGCTTGAATATCTTGCTGTGTTTATTCAAATCTATGGTGCAGCCAGAAGACCTCAAAAAAAACAAAAAAACAAAAAACCAGTTCTCATGGAGCAGGAAAAGATGGCCAAACAGCCTACTTCTACTTGGAAGGCCTCATTCATGCATAAGAAAATTCTAAGCTTTTACCTAACAGCAGAACTCGGTGCAGGTTTCCCCATCCTTCTATCCTTCTCCAGGATGCTTGGCAGATTCCATCCCTCCTTTGTTATTCTGTCCTCTTTCTCCCTGTCTACTCCAGCTGGTTTCCAATATCTTGGCTCCTTGCCTTGCAAATTGGCATCTTGCCCTTTCTAGCAGACGCTTGCATCTTTTCAGTGAGACTTCTATGGGATGCTGACTTCAGCGGCTAAGGCTGCTTTTCAAAAGAGGGGTTATTTCTGGAGAGCTTAACCCTCTAAAGAGTCATTAGCAACATAATTCTTTTTGAGATGTAGTAATGCCCTTCCTGCTACTATCTGTAACCCCACCAGCAGTTTCCTTTGTCTCTTTATAGAGAGACCATAAAATATTCTAGGTGAAGCATTTAGGGAGCATGTCAGAAAAACAAAGGCAGAATAAAATCCATAAATTACCTGATTTAGCAGGTAATGATTTGAAAGCAGTGAATAAGGTCGGGTTTCCTCCCCCCTCATGGTTCCTGTTCTGAAGAAATGTATTGATAATATATATATATATATGTGTGTGTGTGTGTGTGTGTGTGTGTGTGTGTGTGTGTGTGTGTTAAATATAATAGCTATTCTGGGTGAAAGGCAGGATATAAAGCCAATAAATAAATCAATAATTAATTATAAATCATGCTAAAAATATTATCCCCACCCTCCTTAGCAGGTGTGTATAAAATTAGCAGCAGAGGTGGAAAAAGTCACAAAAGTAATCCAGATCTGAGCTTCAAACACCTGGAAAGAGCCGCATATCTGATATTCATTTAAAGAATAGCAGAGAGTGAGGTGTTAATCATCTGGAAGAATAATTTATCAAAATTTAATGTGCCACTTTTTAGAAGAACCTTGGTTGCAGGTGGATGGAGGAGGCTCTTGTTGTGGTCTGCCGGCGGCTGGCGGCCAGCAGAGCTGGCAGCAGAGTCAGACAGTGAGGAGGTTGGGGAGGAAATTGGGCCAGTCCTAGGGGCTGAGGGAAGCTCGGATGAGGGCTCTGCATCGGAGGCAGAGAAGGAGGTAGACAGCAGCGAGGCAGATGAACAGCTGAAGCCTGTTCCCAGTGCGTGCATGCGCAGAGCTGCCAGAAGACAAGAAAAACTCAGAAAGCAGGGTCGACTCAGGAGTAAAAGCCACACCTTGGAGGTGATTGGCCCTTCCCATAGGAAATAAAAGAGGAGCGAACGGGGAGTGGGCTTTTGCAGGAAACAATTCATTCATTCCGTGACTCTGAGAGACTCTGTTCCAAGTCTTGTCTTATACTGCGGTTGGAAACAAGTTACGTGGCAGCTTGCCAAACGAGATAAGGTGTGTTGAGAAATATTCCTTTGAAAAACTGTTTGGATAAACTTTACTGACTGTGAATGAATGTAATTCACAGTCTTGTAAATAAAAGAGGTTTTGCCAATAATTACTGCCTCCTGCTTGTTAAGGGAGCCTAGGTCAGAACAGCTCTATGCATTGCAGCAGAAGGTCATGGCAGTGTAATTGTGGATTTAGTTATCCTCATGATACACATGATCCAATCAAAAGCAGCTCCTTTCAGGGCTTCTCTGTAGGAGACTTAAGAATGTACATCCTTAGAGCAGCTGTTCTCTGTCCTCTTTACCTCAGACTGAATTCACTCAATTAATTAGGCTGTTCCATCTGTATTATCTGTTAAACTTTTATTGCCATCTATTATCCCTTATAAGAATTATGTGGCCCATGATAATCCAACTAAGTCAGCATTTAAATACGGATCTCAATAGATCTCAATTGATTGAGAAATAGATCTCAATTTTCTATACATGCTACTGTGCATCTCGCTTTCAGGGTATAAGGTTGGGCTGCACATAGATTTTAATGCAGCAATGTTTGGTCTTTGGGTAACTATATTTTTGGTGAAGCTAGCCTGTATAAGAAACATATTTTTTATTAGAATAAAAGGCTGAGATGAATGAGGGATTCCAATACTGTAGACATGTTGTCCATCTCCATGTCTCTGAACAACAGCATAGAAATAGTCTGTCAGTACCTTCTTCTATCTAGAACTTCTTTTGATGTCACAATCTTTCCTTATATCCTGAAGGACTCTGGATTTTCTTTTTAACAGCCGAAGTCATTATGTCCTGCTTCCTTCAAGGGCTCTACGGTATATACTCTAGATAAATTGGAAGTCCAACAGATTAGAAGTCAGCCCATATGGGATCACATCTTGTTAGCATCTTGCCTGTATTTAGAGGAAAAGAATTTTCTATAAATTAATCAGCTATGACATTTTTCTAAGATTTATTTGAGAGCCAACAATTATGTTTTTCACTTCATATAGATTAAACCATTTTCAAGCCAGGAATAATGTATCATGGATTGATGCTTGATATACCAGTATTTATTGACATTTGGGGGGGGGGATGTTTAAAAGGCAAAATTTGTCTTTTACAGTATACTGCAAAGTCTCCCAATTTGTTGAACTTTGCAGTCTAAAGAGGTTAAAATTGGATAAGGTTCCAATACAACATTTTGATTTAATATACAGACCTGCACATTTTAGAATCTTGTAGAACCATTACATACCTATAAAAGAGGCTCTGTATCATAGAATAAACAAGAAATTGATTTAATTTTTTCTGAAAGTTAATTGGCTTACTAGAGCTACATTAAAATTATTAAAGGCACATGCAGTTAGATCTGGAATATTCAGAGGATTAGAATAAAATCCCCTTCCACACCCTGTTTCCCCTTCAGTAGATATGTGATCTTGTAGTAAAACCTTAATTTTCTCCTGTAAATTTCCGGAAGCTTTTTCTAGAACTTTGCATTCAGATCAAATCTCTGGCCTAAGAATAATTGGCCTCCAGACCTATCTTTAAAAAAGCTTTTACAAATGTTTATGAATGAGCTGTTCAGATATGAAATGGCTTGATGATGGCTATTCTGATATTATGGAGTTATATTGAGTGCTATTAAGAATACTCTCTGTCTGGACATCATCTCCTGTGAATATTTATTCAGGATAGGAAATGGATGTGAGCTATTCTGAAATGCAATATAAGTTGATGTTAATTCAACTTACAGATGCACTTATTTAAAAAGGATAAGAAAATGCTTTTTACTTGCTGCCTCATCTTATTATAAAGAAAAAAAAAAGAACAACCGGAATGCAAGGGATTAAAACTGACACTCTGCCAGGAAATGTTATTCTTTCTACAACCTCACTATATTAAAATGCATTATTTATTTTATGAATTCAAGTGACTTATTTGCAAGCTTGTAGCCAAATGGCAGGATTTATTTATGTACTGCAT